CCAGGCCCGGCGCCCACCAGGTGCAGATTGCTCTTAGAAGTTGGGTAGATGTTGCCATAACAAACTCGTGACTCAGGCCCCTGGCTTTGTTTACCTCCTGAGAGGGAAACAACTTCCAGGACACCCTTCTTTTACAAATAATGAACTGAGGAAACAGGGCCTCTACAAGAGGGGGCCAGCCCACTTGCACTTCAAACCTGAGTCTGGGAAATGTCTGTCTTTGTCTTGGCCAGTGGTTCCCACATCTGATCATCACGGTGCCTGGGGCTTCTCAATGCACTGCCTTGGACTTCCCCATTAAATCAGAATTTCTGGGGGTGAAGTCCAGACATCCGCTTTTCTCAGAAGCCCTCCCAAGTGACTCATGATCAGCTGCGGCAGGAGTCCCTAGTCACACTGAACTTCTGCCCCTGCCCTGCAAGACAGACTCTGTCCTTTCACCCCTGTGGGATTCAGCTTCCTGGTCACCCCAGGATGGGCTGGAGGAGCACAGAATATGCGCTGGGCCACAGACTCAGAGACTGGATCTACACTTGGAGGCCTCTCTGCGAGGCCAGGAGTGTCCCTCTTGATGATGTGCATTGTGACTAGAACAACCTAGCACATGGCTGGTGCGCAGTGTGTTAAGGCCAAGGGGCACCAGCAAGAGCTTGGTCTTTACCCGGCAGCTGCAGGGTCATCATACCAGAAAGATGTTCCAGAACCTTCACTGGTATAAATGGGACCAAAAAAAAAAAAAAATGGCTTTTGCATTTTGTAAAAGTTCGATTTTGAGGCATCTAAGTGAACATTTTGGAGTTTGGCTATGAGACCCAAAAGGGCCTCAATTGCTGTTAAGATTTGGGGTGTCTTGATCTAATTAATCAAGAAGTGTCTAATGAGGTGCTGGTGGGGGGGAGTGAAGCATGATTCACTTGAATGTGATTAGATAGAACATTCTGATATGAATGGAAATGCCCAAGGCAGTCTTTTTTTTTTTAATGCATAATCCTGTCATGATTTGGCAGGTGGTTATGATAATTCCTGAGATTTTCACAGACTTAAAAGCTTTCTCACAGCCACATTATTCTTGGAGATCTTCTTCCCTGATGCTCCAACTGGAAGGGATTGCTCAGTCTCCTGAAGCTTCAAAGGCATCATCTTCCAAAGTCTTAACCATTGCCTTCTTGATGACCCTCCCCCGTCCCGTATGCAGGGATGCCAAGTAGCTGTCACCTTATAGGTGAGCCCTCTCATCAATTGCTTGTGGCTGCCTGGGTGTCTTCTTGAGGAAGGAGTGCAGTGATTGACTAATAATGTCTGCCACAGTACAGGGAATGGCTAGGTTCCTCCCTTTCGAAGCTAACCTATGTTTTGAGTTCATGTGCAAGCAGAGGGGCAGGATAACACCCCATAAGGGTTTACCAGGTGCAGGTTCTTAAAATTTGGATAGATGTTGCCATATAAACTTGTGACTTAAAATACTGAAGCCTTTCTGGGCCAGCTTCTCTCCAGCCTAATGCACAAAACCCAAGTGGTAAGTAATAAGCATTTACATCTTGATTCATGAGTGGTACCCCTTCTGAGCACAACTTAGGAATCAATTTTCTACCCACCAGGTGTGCTTCTTGGGCTTTTCAGGGAAGCAAGGCTCTCTTCTCAGCCCTTTGGCCCATGTTGGGCTGTGTTGGAAGCTGCACCAGCCCTGGCTGCACACCTTTACCTGGCATTTGCTTTTGATTTGTTGTCATTAGCATTTTCCAGTGGTGGCTCCTCCATATAACTGCCTTCAGGTTAATTTTCAAGGAAATACAACTGCTGAGAGTAGGACACCTGGCTGGCTGTGAAGGTGGCCCTGAGCATGGCTGGTGCCTGGCCGTGGTTAGGGCATAGATTGACTGTAGGAGACTGCCTGTGATTGCCAAGGCCCCTTGGAGAAGGGACTCCTGCTATCTCTGCAGGACACCTTCCCAACACCCCCTCTTTCTTCCAAATCCTCTTCTTTCACTGAGCTATAATATAATTTGACCTCTAGGACATGAACTCCCAGCTCCTCTTTTCCTCCTCCCCGACCCCCTTGCAGTACCTAGCACAGCACCTGGCAGATGGTTACCAATTCTCTAGGTGATGTTCCTGCTTTGGGTGACAGTGAGCCTTTCCCCACTGCTCACAGTGGCCCCAGTTCCTTGGTGTGTGGTACCTGCGATCCTTTTCCATGTGGGTTCTGGTGCCCTCTTCCTCCATGTCCCTTTTGTCATCACCCATCATGTAAAACTTACTCCCTGTGCATTTGTCATGCCCAGACACAGTGCTGAGCCTGAAAAAGTGGCAACTTGTTTCATCAGGACCATGCCTGGTTTGTAGGTGAATAGCCTCAGGCTCAACAGGGGTTAAGTGACTTATTCTGGAGTTCATGTCAGTAAATGGTCCTGCTCAGGCCCATTGCACTAAGTCTGAGCCCAGAACTACCTCTCCCTGCAACCCCTTTGCACCTGCAGTTTCCTTTCCTGGATGTACCTTTCTCCTGTCATCTAGTGGGCGGCTTCCTAGGCAGTGTGTTTGTGAGTGACATCAGTGAGAAGCCAAGGGGCAGGCAGGAGATGGGGTTAGAGATGGTCTCTTCATCTTGAAGACTTCTGGGTTTTATCCATAGGGCAGTGGGAAGCATTGATGGTTATAAACAACAGGTTCTGGGGAGATCACTCTGCCTGGTTGGTGGAGAATGGATTCAAGCGTACCTATTCTCTATCGTATTCCCTGCAACTCTTGGTGGGTGTTGGAAGTAAAGATTGAAGGTCAGGACCTGATTGATATTCTGGTGATTGTGCCGCCTGTTTTTATTTTTATAAGGGGAACTCTTTGTGCTCCCAGATTCTTCTTCCGAGGCTCCTTCTGAGTCTTGAATTCATCTCTAGTTGTACCAGAGTTTGGAAGGAATTATTTGAGCAACAGTAAGCTCAGGATGGCTTATCTAAGATGAGAGCCATTTATATCGATGGCAGTAGGGAGGGATATGGAATATAAAAAATCAGAATTTCAGGGCTTAGCTTAGTAACAATGAACATTGCAATTTTAATGCTGGTGGGAATTATTTCATCAAATTTTCTCCTCGGCTCCATCAGGCTTTCTTTCCCATTCTCTAGTGAAATAAAAGCTTTGTCTGACACGGTCAAGCCATTCTTCCGGCTGCAAAGGAGAACCTGGGCTTTGACAGCTCATGATAAACACCACTCGAAGCTGGGATGTTTCCATGTTTTATGCATTTATGGAAAATTGTCTTAGCACGCTGGCTTCCATGGCAAACCAAAACCAAAACAAAAATAAAGCAAATGCCTGCTTTTATTTATTTATTTAAAGCTCGCATTTTGGGGGCGCATTAGCAGGTATTTAGCATTCATCTGAGGTGGTGTTTCCTATTTATGTGTGGTCAGTGGGTTCTTAGACCCAGGAGGTGCCTGGTGGGTTGTAATTTCCTGGGGGAGGCTTCACACTGATATTAGGGATATATCGGTTTTGCTTGTGAAAGGTCAAAAGAAGATCTTGAAGTTTTTTTTTTTTTTTTTTTTAAATATAAAAGGATAAGGTAACCAGGGGATGTTAATTTTAGTTCTGTACAAAAGAAATCTGGCTAAAAGGCTTAGTGACTTTCTCTCTCTCTGTTAATTGCATGGTGCTGGGAAAGTCTTTTGTGCCACATTCCCTCCGAGTCGCACGGGTGGGCACCCGAGGGTCAGGGCGCCGTTGGAGCAGGTGGCACAGAGCGATTAACGGAGGCCTGGCATCAGGTCGGGAGGCTGGTCGATGGAGCTCCCTTTAGATTCGGGGGGAGAATGTTAATTCTTTTCAAGAGTGCTCATTATTGGGAAAGTAAGAAAAGTAGAGAGAATGGCAAGCAAGCACGCCCTTCCGGTAATGGTGCTTCCTCCTAGGCGCTTACCCTTTATGTAACACTGTGTCAGAAAAGAAAAGGGGGGCTCCCCTTGATCCCTCCCCCAGCAAGCCTCCCCTCAGTGAGCCTTTTCCCCCTTACAGTACTTTTCTCTAATACCCCTTTTTTATTCCAACCATATATTTTATATTTCACATGGTATACTTACTGCAAATGGTCTGATATTATTTGAGTATAATAAGTATCTGGCTGAAGTGTGGGATGCAGAAGGGGGGGACTCTTGGGGAAGGGAGAGGACCAGGGCTGGGTGAGGATCTGCTTGACCTCTGCATTTGGGGGGCTTCTCGATGTGCTCACAAGATTCTTCTCTCGGTATTCCTTAGAGGGTAAGATTACTCCTCACATTTCTCTACAAGGCTTAAATAAATAAATTATAGTTGAATTTGATTTTAAGCCCCAGTAGATTGCTCTTGTAATCAGAGAAATAACTGGCTGTTTTGACTCTCAAGGATAGTTCTGTGCTTTCTGCGACTTACAGCTGTTGTTCATTCTCTGCATCTGTTACAGGGTGAGGGGCACCCCAGGACCCCCAAACCTGCCTGCTCCAAATAGGTTCTGCCATCTGTCACATCAAAACAAAACATACTCTAGTGTGTAAGACCCTTAATGGAGAGGAACTTTAATATAGTTAGTGTGCAATAAAGACAAGAGAAGGGAAAGAAGGGATATAATAGTTTTCATACGAAACACCCAAAGCTACCCATCCAATCTTGGGTAAATGCCCAGCCAGATAGGGTTGGCCCCGAGGAGGGCCACTGAGGCCTGAAAGGCTTCCACAAGTCTAAGGCACCTCCTGTTGGGAACCCATAGGAAAGGGGCAGAAGGGACCAGACAAATCTGGAAGGAAAAGAGCAAAATCAAAATCAAGATAAACGCTGCCATGGCCAGCCTCCCCACAGGTCTCTCACCTGTGAGAGTGTCTTTCCAAGTGTCTCCTTCCATGTTCCCCAAGTCCCAACAGCTCCCCCAAACCTCATGGCTAGTATCCAGAAGGGACCAGAGATGACAGGGCCCCGGGGGCAGTGCATAGGGTCTGTCCTCTGAGCCTCGCTGACTGCTGTGTGTGTTCCAGGTGGCGGAGATGCACGGCGAGCTGATCGAGTTCAACGAGCGCCTGCACCGGGCCCTGGTGGCCAAGGAGGCCCTGGTGTCACAGATGCGACAGGAGCTCATCGACCTGCGGGGCCCGGTGAGTGCCCCCCCCCCCCGGCCAGGTCCCGGCCTCGCCCCTCTCCCCGGCTACCCACCAGCCTCGATGGCCCACACCCCTGTTTAATTCCTTCAGTGTCAAGCTCTGGAAAAGAACAGAGACTAAAAGAGTGGGGTCCACGTATCCAGAATTTATGTACTTTATCCTTGACCACATTTCCTTTGGGTGGGAGGGGCCAGAATAAATGTGGCAAGTTCTGTTGAAGCCCCTCATGCAGCATTCCATGCCCCCCTCCATATTCTGACGTTGGTGTACAGCCTGGCTCTCTATTTTTGTACTCTCCCGCATGCATACATCTCCCAGAGCAGTAAACAGCCTCAGTCTGGCATGACCGTGACCTAGACAGCATCACTTGGACACGTCTGCTTGCCCCTTTTCAGTTCAGTAGCATGGTTAGAAGACTGTCCCATGGAGATCTGGGGGGCGTCTAGACTGTGGCATTCTTGACATTTTGTGCTGTGTGATTCTCTGTTGTGGGGGCTGGCCTGTGCGTTGGGGGTTGAGGCAGCAGCCCAGATTTCTACCCACTAGAGGCCAGTAGCTCCCCATGAGGTGTGGCAGCCCAAAGTGTGTCCAGAGGTGGCCACGGGTCCTGGGGGGCAAAATCACCTGGCGGCGAGCTCTGTTGACTCTGGTTCTCGTGAATGAAATGTACCACGGTTTTAAATCCAGCCACACGGCCATAGGCACTTAGGCTGTTTCCAATATTCGGCTGCCACAGGCCCTGATGCCGTGAGCGTATTACACATTATGTAGTAGCTGCTTGTTTATGGCGATGTTGAATCCCCAAAGGTAGGCAGAGAGCGTGATACGTGGACATGGTCCGTGGGCCAGTGGAACAGTTTTTGGGTCACAGGCTCCCCACAGCTGCTTCAAATATTTGGTGTTATTTCATTCATAGGCATTTTGATATATTTATAAAAATAAGGAATCACAGACCTGCCATTTTTGTCATTTCTCCCATTACCAATAATTTCAATATCTGTGATCCAAGTTCTTATTATCCCATAACTTTTTATAGTTTTTTGAATCAGGATTCATGAGATCCATGTGTTTTAATTGGTCGACATGTCCGTTATGGTTTATTTTTCTTCTTAAAAAGTTTGTTCTGCACTGTAGTAAAATATGCACCACAAGATTTATCATTGAGGCCATTGTTAAGTGTCCCGTGGCAGGACGTGCATGCACGGCGTTGTGTGTCCATGGCCGCCACCGTCTCTCGGCCATCATCCTCGTGCCTGACCGAGGCTCTGTCCCCATCAAAGGCTGACATCCTGCGCCACCCCCGGGCCCCGCACCCACCGCTCTGCTTTCTGTCTCTATCTCTATGACTATCTGGTGTCTCTTCCTGTGTGGAGTCTTCCTTCTCTCCGTTTTGCTTATTTCTTGAAAACGCTGGATCTTAGTGGAAGTTCTCGCCATCTAAAGTTTGCTTGGGGGTAAGGTGGGTGATGTTGGGGTCTTTGCAGTGCCACCTGCCGGCTTCCTCTGTTCTCAGCACACCCCGCTGGTGCCTGGGGTGGAGCCTCAATCCTATCCTCGCTGGCTTTGCTGATCACAGAGCGGTTGCGGGGTGTGTTTTCTGCTGTGACACACACACGCGAGCTGCTTGTGTCTCTCTGACACAAGTAGCGTTTCCATCACTTCCCAGGCCCACCATACCAGCAAGCGCTCTTCTGCATTGAAGGGTTCCCTGTCTTGAACTTTACTGAGTTTCCGTGTTATAAAGTACGACCTGTGTAGACCCCTTGGGCTCCGCGCTTGGGGAGAGGGGAGTCCGGGGGAGGAGGGTTTGGTTTTAGCTTCTCTGGTCACAGGTGAGGTGACATTTTGGCTCCACTTGTGTGTCGTGCTTCTCGTAGCCTTTGCCCATTTTCTGCTGGGTTGTGTTAATATTTTTTCTTCTTGGTGAGGAGCAGTTCTTAATGTTTATTTTTAGTTGTACATATTATAAGTATTCCCTCCCAGTGTGCAGTTTTATCTCTCACTTTTATTACAAAGTGGAAAATCTCAAGCAGGGAGAGTCACTTAATGAGGAACCCACCTCATTAAGTGTTTACGGCGCGGGTCACAGCTCTGTTAGCCGAGGGCTTTAGCCACAGCTTGCGCAGGTCATGCTCCGTTAGCCGAGGGCTGGGGCCCTTGACCGACCACCCCCACTCGCATCAGGTGCTACCTGAGCTAAAGGGCATCCCAGGGACCCTAACTTTCCTCCCCAGAGGCATACCTGTTAACAGTTTGGGTTTGTCTTCCCTGAGGTGAGCCAGGGGTGAGCACAGCCCACGGGTCTTCATAACTAGCTGCTGCCATCTTGACTGTTCTGTAGACTCCTTTCCCCCCTGCTCAGCAGCGCACTTCAGAGAGCCTTTCCTTTTGCACGTAGAGCTGTGTCATTCTGTAGAAAAAAACAGAACAGCATCCTGTTGCCTGAAAGGGACAATACCATGATTTATTTAACCAGCCCCTGTCCTGGATTTCAAGTAGTTTCCCAGCTTTGTTTTGTCCCAGTATTGGCAAGACATCGCTGCCAATCCTGCATGCAGATGAGAAGGTGTCTGGCTGCCTTGGATTCTGCTTTGCCGGGTGAAGACCTGGCGGTCTTATCGTGTAGATGTCCCAGGCCTTGCGCGGGGGGAGGAGGACTAGCACCGTCTTCTGCCCCCCTCCCTGGTTGACAGAAGCCTCTTCTGGGGCCCCCCTCCTCAGGAGCACCCTGTTTATCAAGTTCTTAAAGTCTGTTGTTGGACGGGGGGGTCTCCACCTTCATTCTCTCGTTTAGCTTTGTGGGCAGTCCTGAGAGTCAGGTGGGATTGTGTCCTCTTTTACTGGTGGCAGGTGAGACAGAGTTCCCAGCCCCTCCACATGTCTCATTATGCTCCACCGCATTGCCGCCCCCCCCCGGCTGGCTTCTGCCCCAGGTCCCTTGCTCTGCCCTCCCGGGGCCTTTGCTCCTGCTGTTCCCTCTGCCAGAAATAATACCCTGGCCTAGGTAACACACTCCAAGTCAACTCACGCTTCTGCAGGAATCTCCCTTGATGCCCTGACAAGGTCAGGTTTTCCATGGTGAGTTTGGCGCTTCTCTGTCACTCTGCCTTCTCTTTATGCGATTTCCGGGTTACCCACCTCTGATCAGTATCTTTCTGCTCCTGTTGAATCTGGTGATTACTGGTAGGTGCCAGATACATGTGGGCTGGCTCACTGAGGGAGAGAATGAATGAATGAATGAATGAAGAAATGTCACCAGTGGGAATGGTGGATCCAGATTTTCCCTGGCCCCAGGAAGTGCACGCCCGTCCTCTCTCCTGCCTGCTGGGTTCCCTTCCCCCTTCAGCGCAGTGCACGTCCTGCAGTGCACGGGACACTAATTGCCATGGACTCCTTTCCTGCGGGCAGGCAGCGATGGCCAGAGGGAAGGAGAGAGTAAAGTGGTCGGTCATTAAGGGCCTGAAGGCTTTTGGGAAGAGCTGGCTATTTGGGCAGTGGCCCTGGGGATGCCCTTGACCTTGTCATGATAGCCTCAGGCCCACGCTGGCCGTCTTCCCAGAGTCAGCCGGCCAGGCAAAGGGAAAGAGTCCGCTGCAGACTGGATTTCAGCTCTGAGGCCGCTTCCTTTTCATGTGCGAGGCCGCTGTTGTAGGCGCCCTGCCTCCCCTCCCTCCCTTCCTGTGGCAGGGCCCTCTGCCCACCCTGGGTTAGACCCTCTGGGGCACCTCAAGGTCAGGACTGTGTCTGCTCTGTGTGGAAACCCTGATTTCCTCCTCGAGCAGGTGGGAGCTCCCTAACCCACATGCGTGGTCTGTGGATGGGCCTCACCCCATTTTAGCTCTGAGCCCCCAGTGCTGAGCTCCAGGCCTGGCACGTGGTACTGAGGAAACATTTGCTGAGCGGGAGCTTCATCTCCCAGTGGAGCTGGGGACTCTCCACAAACCAAATGACCACGCCGTTCCTTCTGGGGGTGCCTTTGCTTTGATGTTCCAGACGTTTGAGCCAAGTCGCTTATTTTAAGGGGCAGGAGTTTGGGATTAAAGGTTGTATTTTTTTTCCTGCCCTTTTTTTGAAGTAAGTATTTTTAGGACTCTACTCATTATTTTCACCCCTCTGGTATAAAATGTGAATGCAGACAGCATTCCTTACCTCTTAGCAGGATTTGATCACAGCCCTGAAAGTCCCCAGGAGGACCACTCCTGTTGTGAATAATAAGTGGGGGCAGAGAATAGGTGCCTGGGAGAGTCTGAGAGCGGAGTCAGGTAAAGTCACGGCGCAGAGGAAGCAGCCGGCAGAACAGTTCCAGGCACACATGTCTCGCCTTGTGCAGCCGAAGTTGGCTCTTCTTGGTTCTACCCCTTTGTCTCGTCTCTCCCTCTGTCCTGGGCACCGTGTGAGTGGTCACCTCCCCAGAAGCCGAGAGGCCAGCCATGTGGTGACCGGGGCTGTAGGGTCACTGTTCAGACTCAGAACACCAGCTTGTCCCTCTGTCACCTCCTGACCGGCCCTTGGGTGCGCCACTCACTGTGCTTGGCATTGGCGCTCATCATGCCCTCCCACCCCAGAGTCCTCCCCCACCCTGTGCAGTTGTTTTATTAGGTCTGTTTCTCCGCGGGGCACACAGCGTTCAGGGCGACCTCATGTCTGAGCCCGCCCAGCAGCCTGAGCGCCCTCTCTGCTGCCCTGCTGCTTCTCCTGTGTCCTGGTCCTGGCACCGGGCGGTTGTAAAGGCCCTTCCGTCCACCCTGAGTTGGCGCACCTGGTTCCCCTCCTTGCTCTGTACAGCAAGGGGTTTCGAGCCTGTTGCCACTTCGCCTGGTCAGACGGGCTCTTGGGAATCTGGAGAAGGCAGCGTCTCCGAACAGTACCTCAGAGGATGTGCCTCTGAAAGGGGGCGCCGGGTGGAATAAGCTTGAGAAGTGTTACACTGGAGCATGTGCCACAGGACTCCCCCCCTCTCCAAGGGGGGAGAAGTTGTTTTCATACATTAATGGCCTTATTTCCCAAAATTATTTCCCCAAAGAACATTTTTGCTGAGGTGTTTTTCTGAGGAGCACATTCGGGCAAGTTCGGGCCACGTTTCCTGTTATGTTAGTTACTCAGGGCCAGCTGGCGAGGGGCCTTGAGGGCCTGGGGCCGGAGGTGAGGCCGAGTCCTGGGTGCAGGGGCCCGCAGTGGCTGGGTGCTGGGCCTGGGGCCAGCTGCCTTCCCCACTCCCTGGCTGGCCTGGTCTCAGCCGTGGAAGTAGCACTGACCCCCACACCCCCACCCTGGGGCGCTCAGCTACTCACTTTGTCCCCCAAGAGCAGATTTTTCCAGTTCTCTCTCCTCTCCTCTGACCTCTGTCTCCTGCTTTGTTTCTCCTGTTTTTGTTTCTGTTTCTTATTTTCTCTCTGTGTCTTCTCTTTGTCTTCCTCGCTCTGCGTCTGCTGCTGTCTCCCTCCCTCCCTGCCTCCCTCCATGGCTGCTCGTTCCTCCTTCGTCAGCCTCTGCCCAACTTCATGTCTGTCTCCCTTTCTCTGTCTGCCTGTCTCTCCGGCCCTCTGTCTGTCTCCCCCACGCCTGACTCTCTCTGCACTATCTCCTTCTCCCTCTCCTCCCCCTCCCCTTTCAGCTCTAGTTCCCGTTCCTGCAGCATTGACGTTGCCCTGTGGCTGGATGATGATTGCCCTTCATTGCAGTTCCTGAGAACTGCCAGTCCTTTGTGGTTTCTTTTCCTCCACTCAGGCATGTGGACGCTCCAAAGCATCCACTGCAGGCTCGTGAGTCTTTGCGGACTGTCCCTCACCAGCACTCACTGGCCTCTGCCGGGTTTCTGGACACTTTGTGCATCCTGGTCACTTAACACCAGTACTTTGTGTGCAGTTTGGGTTCCCCCATGGACCATTCACTGCCCCGATCTGGGGCGTCTGCCCATCGCCCGCGTCCCAGAGTGCCCAGGGCAGAGGAGGTCTAAGTCTGACCATGGTCTCTATGGTAACGCTCCAGTAACCACAGGGCTGCCGTATCCAGAATGGGGCCCTCCTGGCCCCTGCTGGACATCCAAGCTGGGCTGGTGAGGCTTTGCTGGAAGCTGCCAGGTGCCATGGCCGTTTGCCCTTGTCTGTTGAGATGGGAGAGCTGGTGAGAGAAAGAGTGGGGTCGCTTAAAATTCAGCACTGAGATGGTTGGAAAAGCTCATCCCAAGTCCTGTAATAAGATTCATGGCGAAGTGAAATGTTTCCTGGGACTTTCTGGGGTGTCTTTAAATCCTTCAGAGGGAATGACCTCATTTGAAGGCTGATGACAGTGACGTTTGGATGCTTCATCAGAAATGTGTGTTTCAGCAGGCGGCCCCTGCCCGCATCTGAGGATCAAGGCCCGAATAGCCCCTGGGCCCCCACCTGCTCTAAACATCACATTCCGAATGGAAAGAGGCTTTTTATATCAGCACTTGGACATCCGTGTTTTAATTGTCTACCGTCTTGGAGGAGATTATTTTTAAAAATGCCATTTAAGAGAGGCTACTAAAAATATGTCTGAGAGAGACACAGAGGCTTAGCTCAGAAATATTAGTTTTTGACACAAAATCATCTGGAAAAGGTACTTGGAAAACCCACTTTAACTCTCTCAGTGCTAGAGACAACACCTCTTTGGGCTCAGCCATGGTTTTTGGGTGATGGGCAAAGGCCCCAGGGGTTCCCCTGCTCCTTGATGTTAGAATACCTGCTCCCTGATCCTGGGAGGGCCCCCCAAAGTCCCCGTCTTCCTGCTGCACGTGTCTGTGCTAAATTCCCGCCCCTGGATTATGCCTGGCTTGCTTATCATTTCAGGTAGTTGGGTGCCACTGGGGGCCCCAAAGGGGCTCCTGTTTAGTGTTTGGATGGGGAAGCCTGGCTACCCAAGGCTTAAGATGTGAATCTTTGAAAACATAATTTCATTAAAATCAGATTTTTGTTGGCAAAAGAAGTATGTGCAGGCCTCACCCCTAGCTGGTCCTTTGTTGATGCAGATCATAAGGGCTGGCAAAGTACGAATGGACCGAGGCTTATGCTTTGTGCGCTCCGTAGTGGCTTCAGCTATGAGTCGAGTGGGAGGGCAGTCACTGGCCTATGCTGTCTGCTGCCACCCTTGTCTCGTGTGGTGGTCTTACCCAGAGCATGGGGCGCACTGGGCTAGGGCAGAGGTGGCTGGAAACAGGCTCTGCCTTGCCAAGGTCAGAGCCCACATGCCGTTCCTGTGACTTGCTGCTCCCTGGTTCCACTGCATCGTGACGTGGTTTGGAGACTTGGACCCAGAGGACGTGCCTCTCAGACCCTTCCTGCCCCGACTCTGAAGAAATAGAAGCCAGTATTGCCAGGCAACCTTTGGCTCCTTTTCTTCTCCAGCGTGGGTTTATGGCTCACAGCCCCACTGGCAAGGAAATGACAGGTGGCGACGGCCAAGGTGCCCCAGGGGCTCCCAGACCCTGCTCCTCTTTCCTTGAGCTCCACGTTTTTCTGAGCTGAGCTCGCATTTTTGTTCTCGTCTCACCCGGTGTCCAGGTTTGGATGAATCAAAGTCCTGAGCTCATGACAGATACTCGTTCTTGGTGCGAGTGAGACCGGCTCTGGGCCTGTAGGTTTTTTACTGTAATGTCATTAGCATGGAAAAGGGGTTCCTGCGAGAGGCGATCACTTGGGTTTCCCACAGACTGGTCTGGGCCAGGACCTCTCTCCAATGTGCTGAGATCTGGGCGCCAACCTGGATTGTTCTCGGTTTTGCCATCCTCACAATTAGACACCCCCAAACTCTACCCTTCTGTCTCCATCCTGCCTTGTCAGTCTTACTGACCAGGAAATATCCGTCTAAGTCTCATTTGAATTTGTTCTGTTTCTGCTGAATTAACACACACAGTATTTCCAAGGCCACATAATAACCACACGGTTGTGCTTGTGCAAACCTTCTAACTAAATATGTGCACTTATCAATATTTCTTAATTTAATAAACTTCATTCTCTATGGAAATAGTTCCTTCTGATGAGTCCTGCCTCCCCCACCCACTCATGTGACTTTCTACATTTTGAAGATTTCTTCCTGTTTATCATAATTTTCTTTAAAAGGCCCATCTCTACCTCTTCCTCTCCTGGCCCACCATTAGCTTAGAGCCACTGAGTTAGAAAGTGAGCAGTTTTAAGCGAGTGACATTTGGGCCTCCAAGGACCTTTGTGCTTCTTCTAAAAGCACTCTCGATTTCCTTGAAGTGAATTTATGTAATATTCCAGTAAAAATAAATGTTGTTTTTGCTGTTTGTTTCTTGGAAGTGATTCCCTGGCCAGCAAATGGTGCCGAGGGGTGTTTCTGTCTCTTCTGGGAGGCCAGCAGGTTGCCGACTGGACTGAAACACAAAATGTTCACAATTAAGTTGTAAAAAGCCACCCTTTGCTCCCGATCTTTTGGAAATCGACCTCTTCTTGAGGGAGGGGCGCTGTCTTGGAACTGCTGCCCTCAGAGTTGCTGCACTGGGGGCCTTTTTCAGAGTCTTCGTGTCTCGTCATTAAATGGGACTTGTTTTTTGTTTTCTTTTTTTATTATTTTATATATTTTTACATCATTTTTCCCATTTTTTCATTCTAAAAAAAATGAAAAAAAAAAAATATGGGACTTGTGGTGCCAAACTCTGAGTCTTGAAATGAGATTAACTCATCCAAAGTAGGGTTCACATGTCACCTCTCCCCACCTTTATTTTCCTTCATAGCTACCACTTTGCAGAGTCACTTGCTGACTCCTCGTTGTCCCTGTGGTGCTTGGCGGTGTCCCCGGCACCTTTATCCAGCTGGCTGTGTCCCAGGTGCCCGTGGGAGCACCAGGCCTGTTGGATGAGGGTGAACACTGCTTCTCTCGCCATGGCCTCCCTGCTGTGGATGCCCAGAAAATACTTGTTGAATTTGACTGAAAACGAAAGCTTCTGTGCCAGTCGTGTACGCCGAGACCATGGCTTTATTTGTCATGAGATGATCAACATTGCTGTTTTCATTTTTTATTTGCTGTCACATTTAAGGAGCGATCATGTATCTCCTGCTCCTGACTCTCCTGATGTCTCCATTTAAATGGTTTCCAATTTGGGTATGAAATTGCCCATCAGTCACAGGGAGGATTTGTGTTTTCGGTGGTGGCTGGCGGATCCAGCCAGCGCTTAATTGGAAAAGCAATTGGCAGAGAGTGAGAGCTGGCTGGAGGAGCCGTCCCCTCCCCCCCACCCCGGGCCCTACCTTCAGTGCTCATCGTGTCTCCCCCCGGATGGGGGTCTGAGCACTGCACAACCCCCAAGAGCCCCTGTGGGTGACAGCTCATCAGTTTAGTCACTAGATGCATGTTAGCATCCTCTCACATGTGTGTCAGGTGCTGACCTGGGCCCAGGGGGAGCAGGGCACAGGCTGTGGCCGTGGCCTATCCCCTGGGCTCCACAGTCTGCATTGTGAATGGAGATGCTGATGTCCAGCACTGCTGGTCCCCGGGGCTCTGCCAGGACCAAGACGCCAACTTCCTTTTCAAATAAATCTTGTTTGTGAGACCCTCTCTTCAAGAGGAGTCCCTCTTTGGCATCCTGTTAGAGGAGAGCAGAACCAGTTTTTGGAAGAGCAGTAGGGCAAGGGTCAGGGGCCCCTACTAGAAACTCTGGGGGCCTGTCAGGGGCAACTAAGAACCCCGATGTGGAGCAGCAGCAGAAGCCTGCGGCCCAGCCCAGCAGCTTCTTCCTTCCGCCTTCTGTCCTCGGCCTTCTCACCTGGAGCAGGAGCGAGTCTGGGTTCATTGGCTGCTCTCTGCTCTTTGTTATAAGCCTCAGTCTTTTACTAAAGATTGGCTGGAGAAATGTAGTTTAGTAATTTAAGCCTAGAGAGACTGTGGTAATTGGTGACTTGTACTTTCTCACATGTGAGCCTTAAAAATACCTGTTGATGGAAAGGTGATGGGCAGGAGGTTGGCAGGTTTTCGCATGCACATGGTGTGTATGTGACCTCAGGAGTGTGTGTAGTGTGTGTAGTGTGCAGTGTGTGCGCAGGCCTGGCTGTTCCCTCTTGCCTGCCTCCCCATCTATGCTCAGAAGAAACAACTTCCTGAACCACGAGCTTGCCCCAACTCCCTATTTGGCTCCCTTTAGTGGCGCCCCTGTATTTGAGCAAAATCCTGAGACCTGCTCCTTTCCCTCAGGCTCCCCAGCTCCATCCTCCCTCCAAGCCGCTTCCCCTCACCCACTTCAAACACCAGAATCATGTGTTCTTCTCGGAGACTGTTCACACTGCAATTGGATGATGAATCGTGGGCTGGTTAAAGGCAGCCTCTCCTGACAGAGCTTATCCTCCGTGAGCCCCGGGCCTCATCTTGCTATATGCCCAGAGAGGAACTTAGTGCAAAGCTGAGCACCAACTTCTGAATAACCGGAGAGTGTGTGCATCTGTGGAAGGAAGGAGCCAGCCCTTCACCCATGGGTGAAGGCAGCTGGGCCCAAGATCATCCGTCTGTCCTTGAGTAATGAGTGTCTGGCGCTGGGCAGGGCCTGCCTCTTGCCAGGATTCTGGAGGGAGCTCACCCCACCC